TATTCACTTTTTTCTTTTGTTCCATTTTTCTTATGAAAACAAATTATAAAAGCAAATCTGACTATATCTTGCCCGAACTTAATCTTCCAAAGCCCACCACCTCCCCAACAGTCCCTGAAATAAAATATGAATAGGAAACACAACAGATAAGATCATTTGTTATTGGGCTTTATGCAGCCTTTCCTGTCTAGACACTCATCACATCCCTCCCCTGACACGGCCTGTCTGTACACCCACACAGAAACTGTGAGATCTTTCATCAAATAGCCATGTCTTTGTCAATAGTATATTTTATCTCTGCATCTTCAGTGCTCAGGACACCACTTGTCACCAAACGTATTTTCAATGTTTTTGAATGAAAAGCTTACCACTCCCCAAAGGTGTGATTCTCTTTTATGCCACATTTTAAAATTTATTTTTATTGGAGTATAGTTGTTTACAATGTTGTGTTTGTTTCTATCATACAGTGAATCAGCTTTACATATACACATATCCCCCCCCTTTTTTTTTTTTTTTTGGATTTCCTTCCCATTTAGGCCACCACAGAGCACTGAGCAGAGTTCCTGTGCTACACAGTCAGTTCTCATTATCCACTTTATACATGGTATCAATAGTATATATCGGTCAATCCCAATTTCCCAATTCATCCCACCCTCCTTTCCCTGCTCCGCACCTCCATGCCACACTTTGTACATGCCATGTCCTTTCCCTAGAATGGCCCATCTTTCAGTCACCAGATGTTAAACTTGATCATCACATCTTCACAATCTCTCCAAACTCTTAGGCAAGTTTCTATACACCTATAGTATCTTTTACTATCTTTATCCTAGCATGCATTATACACCTGTAGACACATCTTGTCTCTTTTCTGAAATGACTCCTATAATATCTTTAGAAGAGTTATTCATATTTACTTCCCCAGCTTCTCCTTAGCAACATAATAAACCACTGTTATTGCTTAAGATATAGGTAACTAAGGAACGGACAAGAGTCATTTATAAAAATTTGTTTCAGGGACTTCCGTGGTGGCATAGTGGATAAGAATCCGCCTGCCCATGCAGGGGACATGGGTTCCATCCCTGATCTGGGAAGATCCCACATGCTATGGAGCAGCTAAGCCCACATGTCACAACCACTGATCCCGCATGCTGCAACTACTGAAGCCTGTGCATCCTAGAGCCTGAGCTCTGCAACAAGAGAAACCACCACAGTGAGAAGCTATGTACTGCAATGAAGAGTAGCCCCCACTTCCGGCAACTAGAGAAAGCCTGCGCAAAGCAACGAAGACTTGGCACAGCCAAAAATAAATGAATAAATAAAATTAATTTCTTAAAAAACTGTTGCATATTCTGAATATACATATAAACATAAACATATATGGACATACATGTGTATATACACTCTTTCTTCTTAATACCAGAGGCATTCTCAAAAGGAATGTAACTATTTTGAACAACGATGAATAAATTCTTCTTACCTCACCAGATTACAATTCCCTTTTTCTTCTTTCATTGTACGTCAAAGTGATCTTTTTCATCCAAAAATAGAAAGAGATTTAGACACAGAAATTAGTACAGCAACATTAAAACCATCTTACCCATTGGAATTTTCTGAAAGGAAAAAATAATTACTAGGAAATGTCAGACCTCCCCTCATGTGCCTCGGAAGCCCCTTGAACATTTAAAAACACTGTTCACAATTAGGAAGGCAAACGGTGTCAATTAAGAGGCGCAGAAAGTCTTTCCCATGTCTTATATATATTTCTTTGAGTTAGTTTTGGCAAATACCGATTCCTTTGCACTGAAAAAGTGAGGCAGATCGCTCTTAGATGGTAAGGAATATTGAGAAGGCATTGAGTCTTCATAAAGTGGATATTGGGCTTTTGTAAGATGTTTATTATTATTGTATCATATTGTATTGCATTGTAATTTTTAGCCACGGGGCATACAGGATATTAGTTCTGGGATCCAATGCATGCCCCCTGCTGTGGAAGCACAGAGTCTTAACCACTGGACCACCAGGGAAGTCCTTGGCATATTTTTTGCAACCCAGCATAGTTATGCTTCCTAGAGGCAGAATTGGTGCTCTGGTGCTAAACAGAAGCCAGAAAATAAAGAAAGAAGCTTTATGTAATGGGAAATTAGGCTAGTCCCATGAGTAGGAATGGCTTCTGATGGGATAAAGACATAGAAAACTTAAACTTTCAGAAAAATGTAAGTTAGAGAAAGGAACGTAACAGAAAGTGAAAATGGAAGAAATTATGAAAGAGATATGAAATGTTTCATCTTTCAAAGGTTAGTTTCTGTTTTAATATAAAGATGTGCAAGTCATAATATTCTACAACAAAGATCCTCTGTCAGAAATTATCATGGACCTCTTAGCCAGAGGTCTTCATGATTGCAATTTCTATCAATAATGAATATTTATTCATTATTAAATATTCAGTAATGAATATTTCTAAGAATAATGTTTAGTTCATTCCTGCCTTTCTTCCTTTTGTGCATCACAGGCTTCCTATTATGTTTGAGATTTCTTTCCACTACTACATGAAGTAGAATGCCTCTCAGCCTCAGCTGCAGTTACCAGTCTGAACCCCAGGGCTATGGACCCTCTAGGAACCCACAAACCTGAGGAATTATATAGATTCAGATCATCTGCTTTCAGGCAAGAATTCATCTCCCGGTATTGAATTTCGTGGACAGAGTTCTCTCCTCTTGAGGAAACTGACAAAAGAGGTCATAGGTTAGGAGTCAGGGGGGCATAATGAAATTTTCCCTCCCTATGTGTGCTTTTTCCCAGCAGTGCAAACACACCCAATCATCACCTAAGCCCTTGTCCTGTTTCCATTCTATTCTACTGTCAAGCTTCACCCTTGTGATGCCACAAACACAAATGTAATAGCAATGAAACTAAACCAGTTATCCAACTGCCCAGTTTCTTCTCCCAAGGCAGCCAGCATTCTTCCATAATTCACTGGAGATTTGTCTAAAATCTTTATAAAACTTATCCTTTCCTGTTCATTCTCACTATAAAGTCTTTTTCATCTTTCATCTCAACTATTTCAAAATCCTATCTTTGTCAATAATGTGGTTCTCTTTCACCCCTCAGATGTCCAAACGGAACTTTCTAAGAGCCTGCCTGAGTACTCTGTCCACTATACCATACTTTAATGACTGTTAATCTTCTTACCGGGCAATATAGAACTTCACTACTTGTTTCTTCCCCTTTCATCAGCCTCATCAGGAACTTCTGTCCTTGAACTCACCTTTTACTTACCCCCACCAAAACACCAAATGTGCCATCTTTTAAGCTTCTCTACACTTGTAAATATTTTTTTCTCTCCCTGAAATGTACCTCACTAAGTTCTTTGCTCTGTATCTTCAAAATTTGTCTCAAAATCTCCTAGAAACCTCCGATACTCCCTTTTCAGTTAATTAATTTATTCTCTGGGCCTCCTTTGTTCTTCATTCATGTTACTATATAATAATACATTGCAATTTATTTGCTTACATATATCTCTCTTTGGCTAGACTGCAAATTATATAAAGATAAGAACATTGGATTATCCATGTCTGAATCATCTTCAGAACCTAGCATGTTGCTTAACAGAACAGTAAATTTAGTAATAAGTATAGAGTAAGAGCAAATAAATGTTTGGGCAATAAAGGATTCATCCAGAACCACACAAGCATACTCATTCTAAACGATCGATTCTATAATGTCCCAATTAAAGATATAGATAGACTATTTGCTGTTGTTTTTAGTTGCTAAGTCGTACCTGACTCTTTTGCAACTCCATGGACTACAGCCTGCTAGGCTCCTCTGTCCATTGAAATTTCCAGGCAAGAATCCTGGAGTGGATTGCTGTTTCCTTCTCCAGGGGGTCTTCCTGACCCAGGGATTGAACCCTCCTCTCCTGCATTGGCAGGCGGATTCTTTACCACTGAGCCACCAGGGAAGCCCATAGTTACATTATAATAATCATCAATACGACCAGTGCCCCTTTTCTTCTCTGAACTTCTGTTTCTTCTTTTGGGGAAACTGCTTAAATCTCTTCTAGGTTTCCTCTTTCTGGCCATTTGATACTTGAATCTAATTTTTTTATTGTTATATTATTCCAAGAAACTTCTTATGCCATGAAACATTAGAGACACGATAATTTGGCTCAGACCTGCAAGACGCTGTCTCTGTCTTCGCCTCTGAATCCACAAGAGGGCTGCGATGAGAAAGGCCAACAGAATGACCCCAAGGACTCCAAGTGCAACAGTGGAGGAGTGACCTGAGCACAGGGAAACATCAAAAGAGGTAATAACATCTTAGCTAAAAGACCTGGGTCCCCAGTTACTATCCCTTTTCTAGGTCAATACAGGATTGCTGAAGTAAATTTCAGCTTCTTAGAGCTTCTGACCCAGAAAATCTTAATAAGAGGGATTCTAAATAATGCAGACAATCGGCCCATGCTCAGAAACCCCTTGATATACCTGCGGCCTTTAGTGATCCTTTGCTCTCTGCAATTTCTGTAGGAGAAAAGAGGAGAGACTCAATTCTGGGAGTTACATACGGAACAGTTATGTCTGTTTCCTGTCTGGGGATTTAGCCTCTCAACCAAATAAACTACTTCTTCCCACCCAAAACTAGAGACCCCTAGTTTTTCCTCCCTCTGCACACGGATACATGTAAGCTAAATGCTTTTCCTCAGTGAAAGTCGCTCAGGCGTCTCTGACTCTTTGCGAGCCCAGGAACTGTAGACCGCCAGGCTCCTCTGTCCACGGAATTCTCCAGGCAGGAATACTGGAGTGGGTTGCCCTTCCCAACCCGGGGATCGAATCCAGGTGTCCTACATTGCAGGCGGATTCCTTACCGTCTGAAGACCAATGTATAACAACACGCACGATTCTTTCCCCACCAGGTCCCTGGGACGGTACTTCCGGTCCTTACACAATGCCCCTCCCTACCCACCCTCTCCGAGCTGCAGGAGATTCCAGACCCCTTGGGCTCACCTGAGCACTTCACAGAGGCATCCTCCTTGTGCCCGCAGTCACTGTGTCCCCAGTTTTTGGCAGGACAATCCCACAGGGAGGACTCATTGCCCTTGCATTTCACTTCATTGAGCCATATGGGCCCGGTTCCCTGGCCGAACGCTGCCTCTTTTCCTGCCTCCAGAGCTAAGCCACATCCCAGCTGGCGACACACCACCTGGGCATCGTTAAGGTCCCAGGAGTCGTCACACACTGTGCCCCAGGAGCCTCCGTGCCAGACCTCCACGCGTCCAGAACAATTAGTGGTTCCTTCCTCAAGCCTTATTTTATCTGAAAAATCAGAGACACCTTGATCATTTCTGAGAAGATAAAAGCTCCTAGAAGGTCACTGGAGAAAAGAAAAATTTGAAACTCTTTTTTAAAAATCTGTTTTAAAACTTTGCTTATTGAATGTGCATTTGGAATTTTACAACATTCATCTTTCATGGAAGTGCATGTCCTTCCAACAAACTGGGTGTATTAAATATTTCATCCTGGACATTAGAACGTTAGTGTGATTTAGTAAATGTCAATGAGATAAAGTTAGCATTGTAAATGTATTAGGTTGGTCAAAAATTTTGTTCCATAATTATAGACAAATGAACTTTTTGGCCAACTCAGTATAAATCCTCTCAAACTACGAGATAAATAGAAATCTTCTTCCAGTTTAAGAAGGTGTAACAGGGAAATAATTCAGGATTGATCTTTCTGACTGCTTCTCTTCTTACATTGAGTGTAACAAGATATTATTTGAAAGAAAAATGGAGTAACTCAATAGTCAAATACTGAATTATATATTCTCTGACCCTAATTTGTTCACAGAGAAATCACAACTGAATAAAACTTTTGAGAAGGCCATCAGAGTATGATCATCTTTGAGAAAATAGTCACTGATCCCGAGTATCCAAAGGCCAAATTAAATAAAACCATTTACATCATCCAGGTAGAATAAGGGTTAACCAAACGTTATTTATTCTCGCTGAGTTAGATCAGGAGATGAGAGTGGAACAACAGAATGAGATTGTCATACCGGCCCACGGATACTCACCAGCACATGTGATCCAGGTCTCCTCTGAGGGGCTGGCCAGCCTCCTCTTCCACGGAGATGAAGGGCACTGCCATAAGGTTTCAGGTCCCTTAGGACACCGGACGTTGTCCACCCACATGTGCCTTTTCTCCACATTGTCTGAAGGTGCTGGTCTGATACTCCCTTTGTCTGCACAGCCCAGCTGCCTGCATACCACCCCCACTGTGGTTGCAGACATGTCATTCTTGCCCACACTGCCCCAAGCTCCGTTGTAAAAAACTTCCAGGCGCCCTGCACAGGTCTCGCTGCTGGTGTCACTGATGAGTCTGAGAGACATGAACTCTGGAGTGAAATAAATGGCAGTTTTGCATCTTTCCTGAAGATCCAGAGGACTCTCTTCATTTACTTTGATGTGCGCACGTTTTTAAAAATAGGTCAGCCTGCTTCCCTGGTGGCTCAGATGGTAAAGAATCTGCCTGTAGTGCAGGAGACTGGGGTTCGATCCCTGGGTTGGGAAGATCCCCTAGAGAAGGCAATGGCTATCTTTTCCCTGCGAATTCCATGGACAGAGGAGCCTGGCTGGGCACAGTCCATAGGCAAAGAGGTGGGCATTACTGAGCAAGTAACACTAACATGATCTAACAGGATATGCCATTATTAGAAATTCTTTGGTAACTTCATGATGATTTGGTAGATTTTCTTAAAATATTTGTTCTATAAATACTTTCTGGGTTTTTTTTGGTCTTGGATTTTGTAATTAGGGACCTCTGCTTCCCTTGTAGCTCAGATGGTAAAGCATCTGCCTACAATGCAGGAGACCCGGGTTCGATCCCTGGGGCAGGAAGATCCACTGGAGAAGGAAATGGCAACCCACTCCAGTACTCTTGCCTGGAAAATCCCATGGACGGAGGAGCCCGGTAGGCTACAGTTCATGGAGCTGCAAACACTCAGACATGACAGCGACTTCACTTCACTTCAAAATGCCAACAGTGACTCTAAGTTGACATCTAAATCTCAATCAAAAGCTTACTCAGAGCCTTTTATGAATTACACAGTTTGGGTTTTTTCTCTCTAAATTACTGTAATTTTGACTTTGTAACCCTGTTCTATTCAATTTTGGACAATTGTCCTTGACAGTTAAAATTTAGTGAGATACTCAGACACTAAAACCAATGTTTTGTATACATTACCTTAAAATACAATAGTTCCCTTTCTGACACTTCGAAAAGTGAAATTGAAAGTCGCCCAGTTGTGTCTGACTCTGTGTGACCCTAGAGACTATACAGACCAGAATACTGAGGTTAGCCTATCCCTTCTCCAGGGGATCTTCCTGACCCAGGGATCAAACCGGGGTCTCCTGCACTACAAATGGATTCTTTACCAGCTGAGATAGTTTTGTTTTGTATGTCCTCTACCAGATTTATGTTATTAAATGTGAGAGCAAAATCACATCTGGCATATAGAATTTTTCACTTTGCTAAGTCATAGCACCATTTTTTCCCCCAATACATTACAATTGAGTACATTTTTCTAGTTCACAATGCTTTCTAATATTTAATCGTGTATACAAAACAAGAGCAGTGTCTCATTGTGATTCTTTGTCATGAAAAATTACTTGGGGGCATGGTGGTCTTTTTATCTGTAGAATGTGTTACCAAATGTTTTTATTTTTATCCTTTAAAAAAAAAAGGTTTTTTTATTTTTGGCTATCCTGAGTCTTTATTGCTGCACATGGGCTTCGTGTAGTTGCAATGAGCTGGGGCTACTCTCTAGTTGCAGTGTGTGAGCTTCTAATTTTGGTGGCTTCTCTTTCTGAGGGGCATGGGCTCTAGAGGGTGGGCTCAGTAGTTGTGGTACATGGGCTTAGTTGCCCTGCGGATGTGGAATCTTCCCAGACCAGAGATCAAACCCGTGTCTCCTGTACTGACAGGCATATTTTCAACCACTGGACCACCAGGGAAGTCCTTGTCTTATCCTCTTTAATCTACTTCATTAATACAGTGATCATCATGTGGTACACTGAATCCTTAACCAACATCCAGCACCCTTTATGTTTATAAAAGAATTTCTCATTATCACTTTTACTGTCATTTTCATGACATACAACCTCACTTCTGAACTTTCCTCTTTCTGATATCATACTACAAACTACCTTGCACATGTGTGTCTGTGTGCTTGGTTACTTGGTCATGTTTGACTCTTTGCGACTCATAGACTGTAGCCCACCAGCCTCCTCTGTCCATGAGATTCTTCAAGCAAGAATATTGGAGTGGGTAGACAGCCCCTTCTCCAGGGGAACTTACCCACCCAGGGATCAAACCCAGGTCTCCTGCATCTTTATTCACTGAGCCACCAGCATAGCCCACCTTGCACATGAGGTAGTACTAATGCATCAGATCCACACTTCTGGCAACCTGAATCTCACAAGTGTTCCCTCTGAACCTGTAGTCCAAGGAGTTTACTCACATTAATATCCTCCCTACCCACCACTCCACCTCAGCCATTTCTTCCATAACTGTAACCAGTTGTAATTTTGCAGAACTCACCTGAGCAGATAACTCCTGCATCCTCTTTATGCCTGCAGTTCTGCCGCCCCCAACCATGAGAACGGCACTGAGAAATGCGAGATTCCTTTCCATTACAGTTCACCTCATCCAGCCAGATGGGCCCTGATCCTTCCCCAAAATGAGCAGAACCCGTGGCATTAATGGCCACACCGCAGCCCAGCTGCCTGCACACCACGTGGGCATCATCCAGGTCCCAGCTGTCATCACAGATGGTGCCCCAGAAGCCCTCATGATAGACCTCTATTCTCCCGGCACAACGCCCACCTCCATTTACCAGGCGGAGCTGTCCACTCCCTGAAAGAGCAAATGAAACAGTGATAAATGCATTTCTGATGATTTGGAGATCATTTTCATGGATCAGTCACTGATTCTCACCTATGCAAGGAACACCATTTTCTTCCAAAACAACAGAGCTTTTCGGATCCGAAGATGTTGAATTGCATGGATATAGTGTCTGACTCCGGTTTCCTGCAAGCACCAAACATTACCCATCAAAGAGATACAAAATGATGGAATGAAGAGAGGAGGTCAGTTGGTGTGCTAGATGGATGAACTCAGGACAAACGTAGCTTTAGAGAAAGATGTCTGGGTCAACCAGGCTAAGAATGAATCAGATCCTCTGAGAAAGCACATGTGTGCCTGTGCTAAGTTACTTTAGTCATGACTGACTCTCTGCAACCCCATGGGTTGTGCCCACTAGGCTCCTCATCCATGGGATTCTCCAGGCAAGAACAGTGGAGTGGATTGCCATGCCTTCCTCCAGGGGATCTTCCTGACCCAGGGAAAACCTGTGTCTCTTATGTCTCCTGCACTGGCAGCTGGGTTCTTCACCACTGGCAGCACCTGGGAAGCCTAAATTACATGGTAAGTCCTAAATGGTCTTCCCTGATGGCTCAGATGGTAATGAATCTGCCTGCAAGGCAGGAGACCTGGGTTCAGTCCCTGGGTCAGGAAGGTCCTCTGGAGAATGGAATGGCTACCCACTCCAGTATTCTTGTCTGGAGATTCTCATGGACAAAGGAGCCTGGTGGACAGAGTCCATGGAGTTGCAGAGTCAGACATGACTGAATGACTGACCCACACACATAAGCTCTATCAACTATGAGGTCCATGAAAATCAAGCTTACTTTCCCACTAAAAAGACAAATGAAGTTAATATCCTGGTACACTTCTCATAATCTCTCAAAGTAGATCATTTCCTTTTACTCCCATTCTTTACTATAGGTACACCCACTCCTTTTTGGAAGTATAGTTGATCAACAATGTTGTTAATTCTTGTTAATTCAGCAAAGTGATTTGGTTATACATATATACATACATACATATATATATATATATATATATATATACTTTTTTAATACTCTTTTCCATCATGGTTTATCATAGGATATTTTTTATTGGAGTACAATTGTTTTTTAATGTTGTGTTAGTTGTTAGTTTCTGCTGTACAATAACATGAATCAGCTGTAAGTATACATTTATCCCCTCCCACATGAGTCTCCCTCCCACAACCCCCATCCCACCCCTCTAGGTCATCACAGAGCAACGAACTGAGCTCTCTGTGTTAACCAGTATCTTCCCACTAGCTATCTCTTTTACACATGGTAGTGTATATACATCAATGCTGCTTTCTCAGTTATCCCACTCTCTCCTTCCCCCCCTTATACCCACTCTTAAGGCACACCACCATGGGAGAGGCTCCTCATTAGCTGCCCTTTATTCTCTTACCTGAGCAGATTACAGAGGCCACTTGCCCTTCAGGACACAGTGATGCACCCAGAGCAGTTACAGGACAATCACCTATGTGCTGTTCTGTCCCAGTACAGTGGAACATGTGTCTCCAGGGCTGTCCACTTCCTTTCCCAAAAGGTGCTCTTTCTGGGATAGAAGTAGCAACTCCACATTTAAGCTGCTGGCACAAAACGTGAGCATCTTCCATGTCCCAATGAGAGTTGCAGAGAGATCCCCAGGTCCCAAGAATCTTGACCTCCACTCTTCCTTCACACAGGGTATTACCACCCACCAAGCGAACTTCTGTGTATCCTGGAAGGAGACAGGGCTTTAACAAGATGTCTGTGACTACCTTACCCTACCCTCTTCACAATATGGGGACAAAATGAACATGTTGTCTGGGTCTCACTTGAGCAGACTACTCCAATGTCCCTGCTGTGGCTACACGTCCCATCTGGGCGGGGTGCAATGGGGCAGAGTGAAAGATGGGACTCGTCGCCCTCACACTGGAATTCTTCAGCCCAGATCTGTCCATTTCCTTCTCCAAAGTGAGCTCCCCCCAAGATGGAAACAACGGTGCCGCACTTTAATTCCCTGCACAGCACGTTGGCCGATTCCAGAGAGAAGTCAGAATCACAGATGGTGCCCCAAGTGTCGCCATGTTTCACTTCAACACGACCGGAGCAGGGAATGTCCCCTCCGACTAGTCTGGGTTCCCTGTGGGCTGAAAAATAATATTTTGGTGAGAGAGAACATGATTCCAAGATCTTCCCTCCTGATGGGAGTGAGGCAAGGAGTCAAAAGTGAGAAAGGGAGGCCATTCATTCCTCTTGGATTGTCTGCCTGGAGTTGGGCTTAACAATTTCCAGACCTCCCCATCCTTCACTGGACTACCCTGTCAGATAATTCTGGAACTTTGCCTCCTAGAACCCATAATTTCTGGAGCATGATTAATCTATCCTTTCAGTATTTTTCCTGTATTATCCATCACATTGGAGCCCACAGATAATGTGTGTTCATTCTCTCTACAGTTTAGCACTATATGCACCCACTGCAATCTGGAGTCTGCCCCAACCATTTCAAGTGATTTTAGGTAAGGACTATTAATATATCTACTTCTTATTTACAAAATGAAAAACAGACCTCTTCTTTGATGTCTGTCACACTTGATACATGAGATACTCTTTTTCCCCTGTTTTCTCCTCCTTTCTGCCTGACGGTACTTTATCAGAACGTGTCACCTGTTCCCCAATCAAAGTTCTGTCCTCAGCCTTCTCATCTCCTCAGTGGACATTTTCTCTCAGCTGCCAGTAAATATGTTCTCATCTATACATTTCTCTTTAAATTTATACTCATAAGCAGATCTATTTGGACATCTGGAACTTAAGGTATTCCAAATTGAATGAATTATGCTCTGAAAAGACCACCATAGTCTTTATTCAATTAATGGTATCCAGGACCAAATTAGAATCACCTGAAATTGAACCCCTGTGTTTATCTCCTCAGAAATAATGGTAATAATGATAGCAATGAAGACTAAGATTAAGTATTATATATGTATATTTGCATGTGGAATTTTGGGGTTCCCTGGAGGCTCAGTGGTAAAGAAACTGCCTGGAGACCCAGCAGCAGACTCAGGTTCAATCCCTGGGTCGGGGAGGTTCCCTGGAAAAGGAAATGGCAAGCCATTCCAGTATTCTGCCTGGAAAATCCCTTGGACAGAGGAGTCTCGCAGGCTACAGTCCATAGGGTCGTAAGAGTTAGACACAACTTAGCAACTAAACAACAACAACAAATATGGCATCTTAGTATTTATTTAGCAATCGTTATTTCATCCTTATTATTGCCTTAGGGTATAATTATTACAGACAAGGAAACTAAAATGCACAGAAGTGAAGTAATTTGCTAAGGTCACACAGCAGGTTAATGAAGGGACAGGGTTTGAAGCCAGGCAGTATACTATAGAGCCTTTACTCTCGACCCTCACAACACACTGCACATGTGGAAGTCAACTGTACCTGTTGACTGACTCTCCAGCATATTTTTCTCCATACTTACTGCCACTACTTTGATGTAATTTGTCAGCATATGTCATGTAGACTTTTGCAATAGCTTCCAAAGTGGTCTCTTTGCTTCTAACTCCTCTTCCTAATAAATTTATGTCATGATGACAAATAGTAAATTTCAAATATTTTCACATAATTTCTGTCTTCAAGAGAAGTCAATGTTTCTTTACTATGTATACAATAATTCATCTTTTCAACAAATATTATTAAGCACTTACAATGTTTTAAGCATTTGGATGGGCTAAAAAATCTATCACAGAGTTCAGTCTGTCAGTAAGGGTAGATAATTCTACTACTACTAATAATAATCATAACCATAGTAGCTAACATACACTGATCACTTCCTGTGCAATTCCCATGAAGGAGTAGATATTATTACCACCACTTTTTTTTTTTTTTGAAGAAACTGTAGCAGAAAACTTTGGCAGCTTCCCCAATAGCGCTCATCTATTCAAATTACGGAGACATAATAAGCATTATTTTAGCATACTGGAAAAAACTCTATGATGTCACTTTAAAAGCCTTAACATCTATTACTCTGCCAATCATACTTGTTACCCCAGCCTAAAGATGCTTTTTCAAACTTCTATGTCTCTGCAGACACGTTTTGCTCTACTTATATTTTTTGGGGGACAAAGTTACTTCTTTTCAAGGATGCTCAATTTTTCACTGATTTCTCTCTCCTTCAAGAACACATAATTTAGTAGAAGATATACATGTTCAATAATGAGTCCAAACCTAGATACATGTTTTAGATACAAAACTAAGGAAGGAGTTATCAGTTCTATTTTGGCCTTTGTAAGAAAACTATAAAGAGTACCATAAATCTGAACTGAGTTTTGAAAAAAAGATGAGAAGTTTGCCAAGTAAATGACATGTCATATGGCATTCAAAGAATACAATCATGAGACAGGATGATCTAATTGAAGGATTTTGAATAATTTAGTATGGCTGGATTTTAAAAGGTAAAGAAAAGACACACCAGCTATGAAGCTGAAGAAATGGAGCTCAGGTTTTAAGGGCATGCTTCACTAGGTTGAGAGCCAATCATCAAGATAAGTAAGAGCTTCTTTCAACATTTGTTGTTCAGTCGCTAAGTTGTGTCCCACTCTTAGCAACTCAGAGGTAATTCAAGTTACGCAGAAGATACAAAGTATTTCCTTTAATTCATCTTTTTTTTTTCCTTTAATTCATCTTAAAAGAGAGGAAAGAAAGAAGAGGCATATGGAATTGGGCTTCCTAAAAGGCATAAGTCTTTTAGAGATGCCTGCTGTCAAATATGACTAATTCTATTTTTTAATATCACTAATTCTTAAGATCCCTTGACATTACTATCAGCATGACACAGATATACCATCAGCCATCGCCAATTTCCTAAAATGTTCCAGATCTTAGGATATTCTCTATCATAGCAGTATAGAATAACTCAACCGTGCAAAAAATTCACCACTTATCCATTCAATATGTTTGAAGCAAGTTCGATCCAAATTTGAGTTGAATAACACATTGCTTTCTAAACAGAGCTAAGACTTTACAGCAAATAATGCCTCTACAACACAGTGACTAGAGTTGAGTTTAATCTTGTTGAATCATTAGTTGAGCATGAAATTACTCTAAGATATCATTAACTCTTAATCATATGATCCTATTCCACTTTTGAACAGACCTAAATCTTTGGATAAAAGAAGTTTCTTAGATTTTTTTCTGTTAACCTCTTGCTCTCTCTAGACTGATCTCGAGCAAATAAAACACAACCAATGAAAAACAACTTCCCCCTCAAAAAAGAAAAGCAAATAGATATCCTCTTATTTCCTTTGTCCTAAAATAACTGAGTCCAAGGCAAAAGAGAAATCCTTCTTCCAGAAATGACTTGGAGACTCCATCCTCAGCTTTATTTCATAAGTCTGCTAGTAACACATTAGTCTATACCACAGAATGGCTTCCTTATACCATTTAGTCTGAGTACATGATTAGAATATTGATAATTTACTCCTTTAAGAGATTTTTTTTCCCTGTTAAGCCTATGACTGCATTTTTTAAAGTTTATTTTTTAACTGGAGTATAATTGTTTTACAATGTTGTGTTAGTTTCTGCTGTACACAACATGAATCAGCTATAAATATATATATATATATATATATATATATACACACACACACACATATATATATATACTTATATCCCCTCCTTCTTGAAACTTCCTCCCACCCCACCCCCCATCCCACCCCTCCAGATCAACACAGAGCACTGGGCTGAGCTCCCTGCACTATACAGCAGCTTCCCACTAGCTATCTATTTTTTACATGGTAGTGTATACATGTTAATGCTACTCTCTCAATTCATCCCACCCTCTCCTTCACACCCTGTGTCCACAAGTCCATTCTCCACATCTGTGCTATGACTGCATTTTAATATAAAAGCCTTTAACTGAATTTTTGTGCCTGGATTTAGCCCTTTTAACCAATAAATTAAACTTTTCCTGACACCAGTAACTGAATCTATATTTATTTCTTTCTGAAGAAATGAAGAACAAATATAAGAAATAATTAGAGGTATTTCCTTTTGTTTGGTAATAGATACAATAGAGTTTAAAGAAGCACTAATGCACTTTCATCATTTATTCCTTTCCAGACTCTGAAAAAGTATAGCTCATTCTAATCTCAAAATTATCTTTCAGATTTTAGTAAAATAAAACAAAATTCAAATGAGCCATTTATTACATTCAGAAGTCCTCTACAGCACCTATACAGTCCTCACAAGCAAAATATCTGGGATTCAAACCAATTTTGTGCCCAAAACTCTTAGACTTCTTTGTAGCTAGCTTGTCTAAACTATAAGTCAGGAGTAAACACTTGCTTTGTCTTTCTAGTCTTTCTGCTTTACTGAATTTTTCTGGCCCCCATCAACCACAATGCCTTATGCTTTATAAAAGTTTAAGAATTTAAACAGACTATGGAATTCGTAGTTTGAACTTGACAGACAGAGAGATGGTATTTCCATAATTTCTTTCCTGAACATCTTCTGAAACAATCAAGTAAATCAAGAAATAAAATTACAAACTCTATTTCTAGAAAAACAAGGGCAGAGCTAAAGTCTTGGCCCCAAAATTAGTAGAAGGGTTTCCAAATGCTGCAGAAATATAACAAGAGAGTTTACAAAAGAAAGCAAAGTGCCCATATGGCAGATAGCAAACAAAAATATGATTCTGTAAAGGGAGGGAACCCATGCTAAGTTTCAAATTTATGCTATTTGGGATTTTTATTATATACAGCTAAATAGAATCCTGGGCTTCCCTGGTGGCTCAGACAGTAAAGAATCTGCCTGCAATGCAGGAGACCTACATTAGATCCCTGGATCAGGAAGATCCACTGGAGAAGGAAATGGCAACCCACTCCAATATTCTTGCCTGGGAAAGCCCATGGACAGAGGAGCTTGGCAAGCTACAGTCCATTGAGTCGCAAGAGTCAGACATGACCTAGCAACTAAACCATCATTAGAATCCTATATAACTCAGAATGGGTTATCACAAATAAGGTACTCTGGTAATAAAACCTAAATTTTGGATGTGGTTGGATGAAATTCATGGGTGTAATATGCTAATGATGTAGATATTATAGGCTGGAAAGCTAATAAGTATTGTTATCCATGGTAAAGTATC